AAATCTTGGCCCACTGCAACCTCTGCCTACCAGGTTTAAGCAATTCTCCTCCCTCAGCCTCCCGAGTAGCTGAAATTACAGTTGTCCACCACCATGCCCAGCTAATTTTTGTATTTTTAGTAGAGATGGGGTTTTGCTATGTTGCCCAGGCTGGTCTTGAACTCCTGACCTCAAGTGATCCACCCTCCTTGGCCTCCCAAAGTGCTAGGAGGCCGAGCCAGAAGTCTCTTTCTTTAAATAAACTTTAAATAAAGTCCCAAGAAGAGACTCTTAGCACAAAAGGATATACCGTATTCTTGGACCCAACTGTATAAGAATCTTCCAGCTTGCAGCACAAAGGCAGCCCAGTCCTCAATGAAAGTTTAAAGGGAGCCTGACAGATTTATGTGAGAGCAATGTCCGTTTAAACCATTTAAACAACAATATGAATCTTGTGCAAAGTGTAGCTCCCGTTTCATTGAGAGAAGAGGAAATGATTAAGACAGGGGTAGAGGAAACACTGAGGAGTTGTGTCTGGCCATGCTGCTTTCAGTTATCTACTGCTAAGTGAATCTTATGTATTTCATCTTTTTTTTTTTTTTTCACTGATGCAGAACTTTGCAAGAGTAAAGATGCAAGTAACCATGTCGCTGGCATCTCTGGTGGGCAGAGCACCAGACTTTAATGAAGAGCACCTGAGAAGATCCCTGAGGACGATTTTGGCCTATTCAGAAGAGGACACGGCCATGCAGATGACTCCTTTTCCCACCCAGGTACGCCGGAGCACATGCCTTGTCTCATAAGTACCGCACGCTAACCGATTGCGCCACTGGAGCCACCATACCTTGTCTCATGCATGAGTCTTGGGTCTGCCAACTATTATGTATGTATGTATGTATGTACATATGCAATTAGTATATAAATATACTTATATAACATTTGCAAGTATTTATTGTCCAATATGCATGTGCTTTCAGCACTATGAGAGGTTTAAAAAGAAATACATCCACCACTGTCCCCAGTCTCAATATGCTAACAGTCTGTTTGGAATGCTCAGTATCAACACAATTTGGAGGCAGTACAAGACAAATGATGCATAAGTGCCAACTGTATGGTCAGGAACTAAATGCTATGTAAGGTTAGAGGAAGAGAGGTCGTGATCAATAAACAATCTGGTGGCCAGGAAAGCCTGCGAGGAGGGATAAGATTAAAGGCTGGGGAAGGATTCAGTTAGGCAGGGAAAAAGTTAGGGGGAAATTGTGAGTAGTTGAAAGAATACATTATTTGTGTCTGAAGGGATGGTAAAGGGACCAGCTTGTCTGGTGAGGGGTAAGGAAGGGCCGAGTTTGAGAGAGCTTGTAAACAAGGTTGTCCTAAGGAAACTTGTAAGGACAGTAATCTCTTCCGTGTCCATTACAATGACCATGGAACTCTAGCCTGTCCCATTTATCTTTTAACTCCAGCTCCTAGCCTGCTCTATGGTAGGGTCTTAATTAAGTGCGAATAAATGAATGAATGTTTTCTTTTGTTCCCTTAGTCTGAGAACCCTGTTTCCAGAGTCTGTTTTGCCCTCTCAGGCAATGTTGCATCCTCATTCTCAGAACCTTTTTCCTCTCCTCTACATCACATCCTTCCTCTCTCATTTCATCTTGACCATACTCCTTTAATTTCATTATTTGTGTAGAGATATTCACCAACAAGACCAATCAAAATATGGGCAGTTTAATAAAGGCCTTCAGTGCCTTCACCCAGTGAAAAGACTTTAGTGGTAGAAATTTTAGGAGCCCTGACAAGCTGGCAGAGGGGAAGGGGGGTAAGACAACATTCTGTGGCTAAGTCATCTGCCAGGGTCTATAGATCAAGTCATAGTCTCTCATTGTTTTTGTACTGCAGGCTCCCCTGGACCTCCACTGTTGGCTTTTGTAATTAAGAATAATGGTTACAACAGATTCTAAAATCTCTGAAGCCCTGGGAAGATCCAGGAGGCTTCTGAGACATGGAACTCAAGCTGAGGTCCCAAGCTGTTTCCTACTTAGTATAAAAAGCCCTGATATTCCAGAGTAGAGTTTATAACTTTTCAGGTTACAAATAACTGAAACTGGTTCAAACTAATTTAAACAAAAATGTTGGAGATAGGGATAGTATGAGGATTCAGGCAGATTTATGGATCTCAAGGGCCAACACACATCCAGGTCTCATAAGCACCTTGGCTGGTGAAGATGAAAACTACAGAGTCAGGTCTGGATGACTCCACCACCCCTAGTCTCTGCTGCCCTCCGATCCAACCCTTCCCATGGCTTCCCCTTGCATTTCAGTGTAATCCTAGCTCTTCACATGGGACTACAAAGCTAAGATTATTTTGAGACTTACACTTTTTGCAGGTGGAGGAACTTCTCTGTAATCTGAATAGCATCTTATATGACACGGTGAAAATGAGGGAGTTTCAGGAAGATCCTGAGATGCTTATGGATCTCATGTACAGGTAAGCTTTCCTGACACACTCAAGGGGCATCACTTGGGGGTCGAGGATTTGTCACTGTGGAGTTCTTACTAATGTAATGATCACAGCTAACATGGATATAGTGGTTTGGATGATAGCCAAATAATATATAGAAATTAAACATTCAGAGTAGGTTAGTTCATATGTAAGTTTTCAGAAGGATCTCCCTAATTTAAAGTGAGGCATTATTTAATAACACTATCTTCTACTTGCCACAGAATCAGAGAAAAGAATAATGAACTGTTGTTGGAATTATTTTCTATATGGTTTTGTTCCAATTATATTTAGACATACATATGTAGTTTTACTTTAGAAATCATTTTTTGTGCGTAGTTTAAAACTTGGTCTTCCAATCCTTGTTCAGGAGAAATTACTTACAGAGGTAAAATTGTTCAGATGCAACATCATACAAAGTGCAGTACTTTTGTGTCTTCTGTTTTATTTTGAGAGAAAGAAAAGAAAAGGCAGAAAATTGCCTGAGAGCCATTAAAATAGACATCATGTTATCAGATATTTTTTCCCTGTAAGGCTTTTACTAAGTACTATTGGAGGTCAGCACAGCTTAAACATGGAATAAAAATAGTTGGACTAATAAATGTTTTCTTCTCTCTCGTTTTCTGGAAATGTAGGGCAAAATCTCAGGTGGAGGGGTGCAGGGAACTCTTGGGGAGAAAAAAAGAAAAGGTCACATAAAGTAGAAGAACAGTGTCATTAACCCACTGTCCTCAAACTACTTCTCAATCTGTCTGCAGAATTGCCAAGAGTTACCAGGCATCTCCTGATCTGCGGCTGACCTGGCTCCAGAACATGGCAGAGAAACACACCAAGAAGAAATGCTACACGGAGGCCGCCATGTGCCTGGTGCACGCTGCTGCGTTAGTGGCTGAGTATTTGAGCATGCTGGAGGACCACAGCTACCTGCCCGTGGGCAGTGTCAGCTTCCAGGTAGGGGGTATGCAGCTTTTTCCTTAGAGCAGTGGTTCTCAACTGGGGCGATTTGTCCCCCAGCCCCGGGGACATTTGGCAATGTCTAGATACATTTTTGGTGATCACAACTGGGGTGGGTGGGTAGGTGCTCCTGGCATCTGACTGGTAGAAGCCAGAATGCTGCTAAACATTCTGCAATAGGAGAGCTCCCCCGACAAACAATTATCTGGCCCCAAATGTCTGTAGTGCTAAGGTTGAAAAATCCCAAGTTCATACATTATATTTACCTCTTCTAATTGCTTTCCCATCGTCGTTGGGTTTTGTTTTTTTTAATTATTGTTTACAATAATGGCACCTAGCCATTATTAATAGCACTTTAGGGAGACATTTGCAAACACTTTCACATGCATGGCTTCATTTGAACCTCCCCGTAAAGCTGTGAAGCAGCTAGGTAGGGAAAGTGTTATTACTCCCACTTCACAGATGAGAGAACTGAGAGAGCAACTTTTCTAAGGTCATTTAAACTCTTTTTCAAAGATTGTAGTTGACACAGTATACTGACATCTGTGAAAGTTGGAAAGTTTGGAAAACATTGGATAAATGATTTTCCTCCTGGCCCATTCATCTGATTCCACTCTCCAACTTTGGAGGGGCCCACTCTCCAATCCAAAATCAACAAAGAATCAAATTGACCTGAGAAGGGAAACAAAAGGCTGAATCAGTACCCTTAGGATAAGCTGAAAATTACCCACAGTTGGCAAAGGGAAATTGTCTGCCAGACCTAAATGCTGGCTCAGATGGGGAAGCTCAGTAGTCACTTAAAGTGTTCTTACTGAATAGTTTAATATAGCCTTTAGAGAGAGAGAAAATAAAAAAGCACAATGTTGTGTACTTTTTTTGTAAGAGACAAATTTGTAGAGATGGCCATCCCTGAAACCATGAACAATATAGCTATAGCAATAGAGTGTTTTTCAAGCCAGACTCACGAAGTCATTTACAAGGGTTTGTATTATTCTTGTTTGAATTTACACGGCTGATTTTATGAAAGGCTTTGTTCTTGTTATTGTTCTTCAACACAATTTGGTAATGTTGTATGAACCAGAAAGAAAGGACAATTCAAAGTAGCTTTCCCAGGCCTAGAGAATAAGTCACCGAAACTACGCTGGTGGAACCAGGAGCTTCTGGTTTCCCAGAACGCAGCAAAGCTGGGTATTGCCTCCTGTGAATAACTCCTCCTTTCTTATGGTCCTCAAGAACAAAAATAGTTATTCTGTCATTTCATGCTCAGCAAATGAATTTTCTTCCTAATTCAGAAATGTTTGTTATAAAAGCTGATAATTAAATCTCATCCAAAAGCATAAAAATAACAACTGATTTCAAATCACGTAAAAGTGCACAAGAAAGTTATACGAGTTATTTTAGATGTATCTGCTTCTTTTCTCAAATTTATTTTGACCTTTTGATACTATCAACAGTAAATATTATAGTACTCCTCTTTCAATTCCCAGGAAATTGTAAGATTTAGCCCTTCATATTGTTTCATTTACTACACTATTTTGTAATTCTTTTATTCCTTTTTCCTGTGACTATATTTGATTTAATATTTATCACTTAAATATCAATTGCATTTCATTATTGACTTTTATATTTAGTAAGCCTTACTGTCCTAATTTTACGTAGAATTCAATTGATTTGCTAATAATGACATGCCAAAGTGAGACAGAATCATTATTACACAATCAACAGAAATATCCCACATTATCCCAACATGGGGGCATACAGCCCTATCTGTTCACATATCTTTATCCATTGATTCCTTCTTTTTGAGAATATTGAATACTTATTCTGTCCTCATGAACATTACATTCTAACCAGAGAGATACCATATGACTAATTATTCCAATCTTTATTCAGTTATAATTATGAGAAATACTGTTATAAAGAGGCACAAGATATTGTGAGCATTTATGGTCCAGGCCCTGTGAGTCGGGGAAGGGTGAGGAAGTTGAAAAGGAAGGCAGAAGAAACTGAAGTGTGAGGGCTTCATGATGTACAGGAGGCAATGAGTTAGGTGTTCTCAGCTACAGAAGAGAAGCCAAATTATATTAATGTATATGAGTGAATTCGTATTTCTCTCAAATGAGACATACCAAATCAATTTGGAAATGTAGCTGGCAAGTGAAAGAACACCCAACCCAGACTGACAGAAGGTAAAAATGGAATTTATCAGCCTGTATGAGGAATGTGAGCCTGGAGTAGCACCTGCCATACTGGACCCAGGGGCCCAAACAATGTCAGCAGATCTCAGTGTCATCACCATTTCCCATCTCTGCTATCTGTTGTGTCAGCTTCATTCTTCACAGGCTTCCCACACCACAGTTTAGGTTTACATCTCTAGGTTCAAGCCTAGGAGAGAAGAGAGATGCCTCCTTTCTAGCAGTTGCAGAGAAAGCCTCAGTGCATCTTATTGATCCTGTTCAGGTCCTGTGCTCATCCCTGAACCAGTCATAGTGGCCAGAGAAATAGAGTGCTCTGATTGACTGACCCAGGGTCACAGGTCCACACCTGGAGTTATGGGTGATTTCTTCCCCCAAATCAGGATGCTTTACTTTATAAAGGAGGAAAGAATTCTAGACAGCATTAACAACAGATGTCCAGTGTTGATTTTGCAAATGCTCTTTGCTTTGATTTTCAACCTTGTTCTGCTCCAATGAAATTGAGCTTTTGGAAAAGATTGATAAACTAGAGATAAATAAATATGTGCAAGGAAAATAACTTTGAGGTCACTGAATTCCAGGAAACTGAGATCACTGAAATTCTGTGTCCCAGAGTGCGATATTTATTTCACAACTGTAGATATGGACACATTCTTAGATACTGCTGTTACTCGTACCTCCCTGATTCCGAAGCCAAGAAAGTCTGCAGAATCCTTTTCCTCTGACTACAGCTGATGAGGCTACATAGCTTCAAAACTGTTCCTCTAACATGGAAAATTACATACAATTCTAATAGTATCCTGGGTTATTAAATGCTTTCAACTGAATTTCTTGGACCTTCTGTTGTCACAGAAACATCATAATACATAGGCCAGGTTTGGAAGAAAGACTGGCCACAAGGACTGGCCACTTGAGAGCCTCCTCCTATATTCCTAAAACTACGTTACAGTATTGCATGTGAAGGGATAGGGCTATCTGTGACAACTATGGACTGATTGATTGCTAAGGTTGATTCACTTGATCTTGTTACCAGGCCAGAAGGCTGACAGCTTTTAGTTCACAAGCCAACTCTGCTCAGTTAGTAGCAGCTGACTGAAGCACTATGCTGAAGAATTTTGAGACCATATCCAAGCTCTAGGGAAAAGTGCTACAGTTGATTAGTTATGCCTGCCATGATTACAGCAATAGGAAGGAGTGGCATGTGTGCCACCTGTTTGTAATTCCTAAACTGGGAAGGCTTCCCTTTTCTTCTCTTTTCTATATACATTTCTTCCATAGCTGTGAGCTAAGAATGATTCTTGACCTGTCATGTATTCACTGCCAGGGCCAGTGCTAGGGTGAGGAGGCACTCACCCTCAGGGTCAAGCAGGTACCAGATCAGTACTTCAGTGGCCCTAAAAGCGGGTACCTCTCTAAATTTTATGTCTTGGATTTCTTACTTTTTTCACCCTGACCATGGTCTCTGCATGCTCTGCTAGAGGCTCTAAATGCAATGTTTTTGCAAAGGAAAAAATGCATAGAAACTAAATGTTCAG